GCACTTGCTTGCAATAGAACTTTGACTGGAGGTTTGATATTTTTCTCTTTGATAACATCTCTATGTTTGTTCTGTTGGGCATCCTGTTTTCCTTTGGATGCAGTTACTGGCATATTACTTTCAACATAGATTCCCTGATTTTGGGTTTCTAGGATCTTCTGTCATTGCTAGTTCTTTTTTCTGTGCTGTTATTGTGGTTTGCGGTGATATTGATCTGAATGATTTTGTTCCGGATGCATAAGATTTATTAGATCTTGGCTGATTAGAGAGAACAAGTCTTTTGGCTTCTGCAAATGATATCTTTTGTGTAACTTAAATGTTTTGAATTTTTTTTTTTTTTTTTTTTTTTTTCGTCTGCCATTTCAGACATGATCTTGAAAAAGCTGGGTGCTCGCCTTTACAATTTATACATGAGGGAGCAGCAGAGCAGCCTTCACTGGCATGGCCTACGATGGAATATTGAGCGCACATGAGGCTACCACAACAAGTTGTCTTTCCATGTCCACAGCGCTGACATTTGAAGCTATGCATTGGATTCGGTATAGACAGCCTAACTGAACAGTTTAGGTATCCAACTTTGATGTTTTTAGGCAGGTTAGGAGACTTAAAAGTAAGTATGACATGTTTAGTGGAAATGAGTTGACCGTCTTCCCATATTTTGATCCTACGAGCACCACACACAATTTGATCTGCCAGCTCTTTAACAAATTTCTTTTCAGTTACTGATAGTAAGCTTATTTCAGAGATTACTCCTCAGGACGAGTTCAGAGTGTTATGTGGCTTAACTTCAACGTTTACTTGTCCTAATTTAGTTAGTTTCAAAAGATGATTAGACTGCTTTCCAGACACAGTTTCTATCAAAAGATCTCCAGACCGAAGTCTCTTAATATTTTTCAGTTCTACTACAGAAGACAAAAGATGTTTGTTTATTAGAAAGGATGACATTTTTTTCAATTCTTCAGAGCTGGTTATAATTAAGAAACGTGGACAAAAAACATCTGAGACAGTGTCACTTCTTAGTCTTTTGGTCACAATAGGAGTATCGGGTACACTGTTGGAGCAGGAAGGTATCATAGCATTCATATTTAAATGAAAAATGATTCAGGTCCAACCGCCCCACCCACCATGGAGCCCAACAAGGGGACCCAGATTCCTATGCCAGGGCTAGCCTGACCTATATGCAAACTGAAGTCCCAAAGCTTGTCCCCAAACCACTGACACAAGGACTAGTGACCAGCTGGTTGACACCTTTGAGGACGACAAGGTGCCTCCCATTTAACTGAATCAGAGGCCAAAGCAGTGTGTTGGGGACAGTCCCTTGTACCTCAACTACCAGGACTCTCCTTTCCAATGACACGGATCTCCACGCACGGAAAACATGTGGGCAGTTTTCTCTCCACTCAAAAAAATAGGGACAAGGCTGTTCCAGTTTCTTATGATGAACCTGAACCTCAGAAGAGGAAACCACATGGGAAGAAGGAAAACAAGAAAAGTTGCAGTGAAGAGGAAAGGAGGAGAGATCACTGGGGCTCCAGGATGACATTCAATCACCAAGACGGTAATCCCCTAAAGGATCTTCGCCTGCTATGCTTTAGCTGGGCATGTTGGAATGGCCTTCACGCCTAGGGTGGTCCTACCAAGAGCTATGCTCCCAATGTACTTTGCCCGTTCCGCCCAGTGACGCCCCCCCCCACGTTGAGGCAGCATAGCAGAACTTGGGTTGGACACAAATTTTTGTGTATAACAAAATGTAAAACCATCCTTCTATGCCGAAATTTACATCCATAATCCTTGAAGGGATAAAAAGTGAAATCAAATCACAATTTAATGTTAAAAGATATTCCTCTATTTATAATACAAATATCCATTTTACAAGTGATTGCTAAAAATGAAACACTGGGATTTCTTTAAAAACAGATGCAAATAAAAGAGACATGGGAAATTATGTTCAAAATCATAAAAGTATATTCCAAGTAACAAATACACAAACAGTAGAAAACATCAAATATAATCATGGTAAGAACAGCTAGCAACTGAAAATTTGCAAGTTCAGTTAAAGTAAATTCTAAAAATATATAAATCAAACACACAAGAATGGATTAATGATTCTGTATCTTCAACTCATATGATAAGTGATGATAACTCCCCCCCCCTCCAAGTTAAATAAGCACACAGTAACTGTCACTAAATAAATTTCTCATGGTATTGGTTGAAGGCTATTTTGAACTTTAAATGATCAAATAAAATCAGAAAAAGTACTGTATATACCACAGCTAGAGATTAATTTACTTTCAGTTCAATCACATATAAATAAAGGTTGCTTTGTTATTTATAGCTTTTATAACAACTCTAGTATTGGATAAAGTAGAAGTATATGCTGCATCAAAAACAAATTTAGAAAGAAAATAAAAGTTCTAAGATCTGAAAACAGTATGGAGTACTGTAATGAATTCAATGAAAAGTACCTAAAGAAACTTGGCTATTCTCATCAAACTTTAATAATTCATTAATAGATATGACAAAGGTTATGCTAACAAGTTCAAACATACTGAAAAGCTTATAGGCTGGTGCAGCAGTTACAGCTATATATCTTCAAAATGAGTTATCAAGTAAAATTATAGAAAAAACAACATATACATTGCGGAACACTAGGAAAGCGAAATTAAATCACTTACACAAGTATTTGGCTATAAAGCACATTTTTTATGTAAACAAAGCAAAACCAGAAGAAATGCAGCAGTTAAATGTATAGAGGTGAAAAATAATAGCAAGCAATTAAATTTTCAAAAAACACGTCCACATCTCATAGATATGCATGAAACAATACTAAAGATTCAAAATTATTTCATCCAATACCTCCAGAATGGTGAAGAAGGTAATGAAGAAACATTGCTTGGTGATGATCTGACAGCAGCTTTAGAAACAACTGAAGAACTGGGTAAATGATCTTTAAAAAAATGTACACAGATGAGTTTTTAGTAGAACAATTAAAGGTGATCCACTAAATAGATTTTCTACATATGTGAAACCAAAGCATCAACAATATTTCAAAATATGAGATCCATAGGCTTTGAAGAAATTTTAAACTTGCCAAAATAAGAAGGTTGGTTTGGATCAAGATGATGGAGGAAGAAATAAACTCTTCAAAAGAGATTAATACTTATCACCTTCCAGATTTATCACCACGAAAACATATAGCAGGAAGCAAATGAGAGCTGAAAATCAAATATAATGAAAGGGGCAAGAAGATAAAATACAATCAAGATTAGTTACCACAGGATTTATCTAAAAAGATAGAAATGATTATGATGAAAATTTTTCTTAAGTAGTGAAATACACCACAATTTGTTTTCTTAGCATGGCTCGCATATAACAGTGCAAATATCCACCAACTAGATATTAAAACAAAGTTTTTGCATAAAAAATTAAATGAACTAATATACATGGAACAACCAGATGCATTTTTAAAACCAGAAAAAAGAAATAAAGCTTGCAAGTTAAAGAAATCAATTTGTGGCCTCAAACAAACAAACGGGATTGTGATAGAAGAATTAATATAATTGGGTATGTTGATAATATTATAATGAGTGCTAAAGAAACAACATTAGTTCTTGAAGTAATCAATATTTTAAAGAAACACTATCAAATAATGCATTTGGATAAAGCTAACAATTCTTAGGATTAAAAATAAATAAAAAAAGAAGGTGGAATCTTTTATCTCAGAAAAATAAAATAAGCCAACTTGAGGAAATAAAGCCCATTAAAGAAAAATTATTATAGCCTAGGAAAACAAGAATTTTTTTCCCTTTTAAATGATAAATATTTCTAACCTGTTGGATGTCTTTTATATACATTGTCTATACATGCCCAGCTACTACAGCTTTAACTCACATACTTAACAGAAGATATAACGATCCACATCAAAAAGACTGAGATACAATGAAACAAGTTATTAGACAGTTAAGCACAAGTGGGAAAGAAAACTTTCTCTATGCATTTCTTCAAGTGTAAAACCAAATCTTGTAGTCTACGCAGATGTCGATAATATGTCAATAGGTGCATGACAGAATATCTACATCAGGAAATGTTATTTTATTGGGTAGTCACATCAAAGTATATCATAGTCTTCAAGAAAAGAAATGAGTGTTCCATTATTCTCAGCAGAAGCTGAATATGTTGCACTATCACAGGCTACACAAAGCATTACTGTGGTTATTAAAACTTACTGGAAGATTGATCTACCTCAAACTTTACCCATAAATGTCTTTGAAGGTAATCATTCAACAATAAAACTTATTGCATCTGTAAAATTGTTGAATCTGAAAAATACAGTTCGGAAACGAAACGCACTAAAAATTAAATTATACATATGACCTGTATGACAAAATTATTATAAAATTATCTTATCTTTCAAGAGAACAAATAACTGAGAGTATCATAACTAAACTAATTCCGAAAGTAAAATTTCAGTTTTGCAAAAATCAGTTACAGTTAGTTTAAATTTTATGAAAAGCAGGAGCAATGGAATTCAGAATGTTGAGTAATGAAACTCAATGCAGCATTCAGCAAAGGAGCATAAAACTGGCAAGCTCAGATGAACTTGTGTACCATTTCAAACTTTTCCATCAGCATGCACCAAAGCCTTAAAAGGATGAATTATTATTATGTCTAACGGAACAATGTTATGCTGTGATATGTTAAGTCTTTTTAAACATTAACCTAACTGATTACTTTAATTATCTCTGAAATTAATAAACTTTGTTGTTTATACTTAAAATGAGCAGCTCTCATAATACTGCAACTTATGCTATTCTTTTTACCTATTTATGATTCTCAATGCCTGAGCAGCATCTTAAACAAAGAATGAAAATTTGTGAAAAGAACAAAAAAAAAAAAAAAAAAAAAAAAAATTAATCTTCAAAAAAGATACACAATTTTAATTTTTAAAAAGATTATTAATAATACAAATACTCAAAGTAGGCAACGAAAAGTACCTATACCTTCGCAAAGGAATCCAAGGGGATATAGAGGTATCCAGATAGTGTAGCGCAGCCAGGTTATGAAACTAACATTTACATTATACACTCGTAACATATAATATGGATACCTAAAATTTAATGAAGTTTCAAAATTAAATATACATTAAAAACAGTCAATATTTTTAAAAAATACATAAAATTTAATAAGGCAGTTAATCCTACTTATGATAATCAGTTCCATATAATTCAACAACTAAATAACTCAAGAGGATTCTTTAGTAATACTATACATTGTGAAACAACAATTAATTTAGTTTATTATACACTTAGCGGAAAAGAAAAAAAAACTATTTCTTGAAGATAAGAGTAAAACAGTTCAGTGTTTTCTTAAATTTACTAAAATTTGATATATTTTTATTTCATTGATTCATTTCACATAAAAATTTCAATAACAATATAAAAAATATCAGAAATGAAAGTGAATAATTATGGAAGAAAATTAAACAGGAAATACTGAAATGCTATAAAAAAGCGAATGTAACTGAGCAAATAAAAATATATTTGCATGGAATAACATAAATTCCAAGCAAACAATATGAAGAACTTAATTTAATTCTTACACTAGTGTGTTTCTCTTCCATCTGAATATGAAGCATGTCTGGGAAGAGTAAATACCTTAAAATCTGAAAATTTAACAAATTTTAATATACTCAATTATATGCTTGCATATAAGAATATATATTGGGAGAATAGAATAGAATTTATATTGGGAGCATATAATTGCTCCCAATATGAATGAAGATATTTTCAGCAAGAGATTTCATCTAGAGCAGAAATAGCAAAGCAAGTTCAAGACTTTAAGGAACAACTGATAATGTCTAGTATGTATGAACGGCACGAACAGAAAAAATTGACTATGGAGACGAATAATCATCCGGCAGATGATAAGGAAATAAGAATCATACCAAAAAAAAAAAAAAAGTTATGGAAAATCAAGAGAAGATGAAAATTCCACAGGAAAATAATATATTTGAAACTTTGAAATCTGATGAAAATGCTGAAGCAGGCAGAGCTAACAAAGAAGAAACGCCACCACCAATTGTATTTCAACAGAATGCCATTGATTGGATCCAAGTGCACAAAATTTTAATCAATGCTTGTAGTCATGAATTTGAAGCTGATATGAAATCTAAATCATTGTATGTAAACGTAAAAAACCATTGATGATTATAGAAAGGCCATGAAACTGCTGCAAGACAGGAAAATTCCATATCATTCGTTTCAACTCCAGAGTGAAAAGCCAGTAAAAGTAGTATTAAAGAAACTGCTGGAAACAATGTTGGAAGACTCTATTAAATTGGATCTACAAAGAAGAAACTACCCCATCATTAAAGTAAAGCAGTTCACCAGGAGACGGAAAAATAACTTTGAGAAGTTACCCATTTTTCTACTGGAACTAGAGAAAACGAAGGAAGGGCAAGCAATTCATCAGCTAAAGAATATGTTTAACACTAATGTGAGAATTGAAAGTTTTATCCTGAGGAAAAGGATGATCCAGGAATTTGTACATTCACAGCATCTTTGTAAACCCAGAGCAACGCTGCAAGTATGGCAAAAACCAACTTTGCCCCCTCAAACCACATGAAAAGCCAGAGTGCCTGTTCTGCTCTGAGCAACATGTCTGTTCCTATCGAGGATGCTCAGCAATTGAGAAAAGACTAGAAAGCAAGAAGAAAATTCTGCAAAAACCTGCCGTTCCAGTTCCAACCACTGCAGACCTTCCTAAACTGATAGAAACTGAAGAAAATAATACTCATCCAAATCTCCTGTACAGCAAGAAAATCAAGAAAAACCTCCTCCGAAAGAGTTCAAAGAAGCTGTTAACTGGCTACAAGAACCGAAGATTAATAATTTCCTGAGCAGTATCATATCACATATAGAAAAGAGATGAGCAGCAAAAACTACAGCAGCGAAATTTACTGCAGGTTTCAGTGCAGCAATGGTGTTAATGAAGTTCATGGAAGATGAAGAGTAAATTGCTATTACAGAAGGATCTGCTGATTTATCTGTTTTGAACTTTAATGTAACTAACTTTCCATTTTACAGGCTATCCTGTTTTCCAGCAGCAGCTTGCGTGGTCAGTTCTTTGGAGAGTAATCTTCCAATCATTCCTCGGCGAATCACCTTTCTCCAACTCTGTGATGATACTCGCTCGAACGGCTCTGCTCAGAAGTAATTTACTTCACTACCAGATGCTCCTTCAAAATTCCCACATATGTACTTTAAGTACATGATCTAGCTTTGCCTGTTCGTGTGGTGGTTATTACCTTTATTACTAAATATTTACCAATGCCTTAGGGCAATTTTCAAGACATGCAGTAAAAGTAACAGTTGTCACTATATGCTGCCCATGCCAATTTCAACTGAACTGAACTGGATTTTAATATTTTATGTATTATATGCCTAAATTATTAACTGCATTAAATATATCTGGTATATTCCACCGTATCTATACATTTCACAGAATTTCTAAAAGATTTTGCATAAGACTTGGCTTCAAAAATATAAAGTATTCACAATGATTACAAAAACTGAGAAAAAGAAAATATATTACATCAACACAGACTTTTGAAATCTGAATTTTTAAAAGAAATCTGTATCTAAATTTTAAAAATATCTTAATAACTAAGATAACATTCAGTTGTTTTTCATCAACTAAAAGGTTTATGAATAAACCTTCAAATATGTGAAAAAAGCAATAACATTTGCATGCACAAACAAGGCTTGACATTAACCTTTTTCCGTGGGCTATAGGGTCCAATTTCGAATGTATTTTGGCCGTTTAGTCACTTATTTTAACTGAAAGGAACAGAAAAACAAATCAACAGGGTATTGCACTTCCTAATCCATATTAAGGAGTAAATTTTAAATCTTCATAGTTTACTGAAATTTCTTGAGACACATTTAAAGTAGTGAATGTGCGGGACATATATGTCCCAGCTCCCGGAAAAAGGTTAAGACACTATTGTTATAAGATTCCAAAGATGAATGTAGTCTGATAATGTAAAAAAAAAATATTGTTAAAAATTTTCTAAAAGTACTGTGTAAAAAGCAATAAAATGTGTAAGCACTTTGATCAAAACAAGGTTTGATATTAAGACATTATTGTTATAAAAGATTCCATAGATGAGTGTAATCTAATTTGGTACAAAAAATATTTTGTTTAAAAATTTTCTAAAAGTATTTTCTAACTTGAATATGTAATACTTGACAAATTCTATGTTCTTAGATTTACCGAATAACTTCACTGAGTGCATAGATAGACAGTAGATAAAAAATAACTGGTTTTGATTGTATTCGAGGTTCAGAATGTATCATCCCAACCAGCATGAACATACGTCCAAAAACCTGAAATAAATTCAAAAAGACAAACAGTTAAATGTTCTAATTTGATTTTAAACAAAGAGATGTTTAAAATAGGTACATCAGCCAATACTGAACAAATGAACAATTTTTATTAATTCTATGCATAACATAATTTAATATTTTACAAGTTTGAAAACATAGCTAATTTTTTATTAGACTATTTTTAGGAAAGTTGAAAATTTTTCATATAAAAATAGCCAAGAATTCATTAGGCAAATAAAAGAACAATGACATATTTAGTTGGCAAATGAAAATGAAATTTTTGAACTAACATCTAAATAATTTTTTTTTTTTTTTTTTTACTTCAATACAGGAAAAGAACACCATATGTAATGAATACAAATATTTCTTAAAAAAAAAAAAGAGAGAGAGAGAGAGAGAGAATGTAGTTCATAATAAAAGACTCAGAACTCTCACCATTTATTTTAAGGCATTTTAACATATTTAAAATGTTTTACAAAAGACACCTTTCTTGCTTCTGCATATATAGTATGGCAAAAAATTATTTGAAAGCAAAAATGATGACTGCATATTTATGAAATCAAATGAGGAAACTGACCTAAATCTTAACAAAATAAAAAATATAAATAATTTAGGAAGCATATATCCATACCGTACATAAAATTAAGAACTGAAATAGCCTGTCAAACAAACCTGGAAACTTACAATACCTAGCTCCTCATACACTGTCAAACTTCTGTTTCTATGCAATGTACTTTCAAGAGGTAATCACCGTCAAGTACCAAAGGCCTTAAATTTCATCTGAGTTAGCAAAATTCTGCTTTGTGAAACAGATTAGCAATAAAATACTACATTCATATCCAAAATAATAATATAACAGAATATACTATATATATATATATACTATACATATACTGAAGGGCGATTACATTATGATCACTCTGTTAATAACATGTAGGACTACCTTTAGCCCTCAAAACTGCCAGCACCTGGCATAGCATGGATTAGATAAGGTGCTGATAGGTGGTCTGAGGTATCTGGTACCAAGCACTCATCAACTGGTCCTGCAATTCAAGCATATTGTGAGAAGGTAGCATGACAGCACGAATTTGGTTTTCCAGGTTGGACCACAACTCTATTTAATTAATGTCAGGTGAATTTGGAAGCCAATACATGGCTTGAAAGTCGCTGGAATGTTCCTCGAATCACTCCCTGAATGTTTGACTTTTATGACATGGTGCATAATCTGTTGGTAAATACCATCCCCCATCGGAAATACTTTTGTCATGAATGGGTGAACCTGGTCTGCAACAATGTTCATGTAACGACAGACGTCAGAGATTGTTCTATGAGAATTATGGGTCCTAATGTCCTCCATGAAAACATTACACACAACGTAATACACCCGCTACTGGCTTGTATCCATCCAACTGTGCATCTGGGAGCCATGGTTCATCTGGAAATCAGTTTATTAGCACACACCCGTCGATGTGATGGACCAGAAAACACGATTCATTAGACCATGCAACTTTCTTCCATTCTTCTAATATCCAATTCTGATGTTTCTTGGCCCACTGTACACACAGCTGGCAATGACATGCCACCAGTGCAGGGACATACTTCGGCCTTCGGCTGCATAGGCTCATACACAGCAATGTACGCTGCACAGTGTGTTTAGAAACAGTCACCACTGGAATCAATGCATTGTCAACAACGCACTGCTGGCTAGCAACTTGTCATTTCACCATCCATACATCACTTTCGATATGTGCTTACAACAACTGCACGTGAACAGCTCACTAAACGTGCCATTTCTAATACTGATGTTTCCAGTTGCCAAGCCATAACGATCTGACCTTTATCAAAGTCTGATAAATCAGCTGCTTTTCCCATTATGTTGCTAATTGCATAATGTTTGGAAAGACAATGCATAGCTGCTTTATATACTCCCTCAGCCGTGCACGTGCAGTGTGTTTGTTCCGGTGAGATGCCATTGTTATAGATGGAGGGTGGTCATAATGTAATGGATCTTTGCTGTATATATGTAATAATTTCGGTGGTATCATGAGAGAAGAACAATTGACTCTGACATCTTGACCGGAGAGGTAACAGAAGTGACAAATATACTGATTGTGTCATACCTAGAAGGAATTCGCCAGAGATACCTAGAAGATGCCAGACCCAGACCCTGCCATCCGAACGGTAAAGGGTGAACCTTAATTCATTACTCCGAAGAACCTGTTTCCACTGATCTACGGTCCAATTTCGATGTGCTTTGCACCACATTAACCAAGCAGCACGGTTGGACTTTGTGATCAAAGGCTTATGGGCAGCAGCACGACCATGAAAACAAAGCAGATGTGCTTCCTTACGGATGGTATTCATTGAAACAATACTCCTGGATGCCTGTTGAAACTCCTCGCGGATGAGGACCATCGGTTGGGTGTGGTTCTTCCGAATTTCTCTGGACAGCACTCGTCGGTTTCTATCTCCCAGTTTCGTTGGTCTGCCGACTCGGGGCACATTCCGACAATCACCGCTCACCTTCCACTTCTTAATCACATGGGTCACTGTCGATTTGGGGTACTTCAGATCGCTAGATATGTCCCTTAAGAATCGGCCACATTTGTGATACCCGATAATTATACCTTTTTCGAAATCAGAGAGCTACGAACTGCGAGGCATCTTGCATGCAACTAAAGCCAATGCTGTTTCCTACACGATATATACCGGCGTAGTCAGTGACATACCTTTGGACCGCAGATATCGTCATTTGCATAGGTGTCCCCAAATACTTATTGATAGTCAGTATATTATTTAGTACATTTTTAGTTTAAAAGGATAAGATAATCATTTAAAGAACAATATCCGATTACAGCCGATTCAAAAAGTTCTAAAAAAAATGCTAGTTCTACGGTTTTTGTCTGGTTTCTCTCGGTTGCCAATATGCTCGAATCAATAACTATTTCTCTCTTTTTTTTTTCTTTTATCTGAGTAGTTGCCAACAAATTTAAATTCACATTATCGAACATTTTAATTTTATCATTTTTACAAATTACCTTGTTGCTATGTAACGACACGATCCCTTAGGTACTAGTAAGTAAACAATCTTCATTATTTTCCAAAAATTTTAAACTTTACATTAATATAAAAATAATAAATATTTTTATTGCAGATCAACATCCTACACAGCTTTCATATCACTGTTTCTTAAATTCTTAAATCATGTCATATTCTCTAGTCATACTAGAATTCTATACATTCTATTACAAATAAAAAAAAAAAATCTAATTTCTCACAGTGAAATCGGCATCGCACACAACCTCGGGATTGCATGAAAGAAAATAAACACTACAAATATGGAACACTAAGCAATGCTTTACACACACACATACACATATTATCAATGAACTCATATTATCAAGTGCAATTGCGATAGCAAATACTACATATTAAAATAAAAAAAAGTATAAGTTATTTATAAAGTTAACAATTTTGCTACTATTAAGTTGATCGTCGGATTATCAATATTTTTCGGAAAGCATTATCAACATATCAAAAGCAAACAATTAAAAATACAATAAAAAGATTTCTAAAGTATAACTTGCAATTAAAACAACAATGCAAATTTAAAATACACAAATGACACGTTAAACATTTCATATAAAATATGTTACATTACAGCTCGGCATAACATACAGCCTCGCTGTGTCCATGTGCCCAACGACCTGTATTCGCTCAAAAAACTTCAAAGAGTTGTAAAAACTTCGTGTCGATGCACACATCCATCTATTCTCACTAAAAAAAATCAGAGAATTGCACAAACTTGGCATTGCGCACTGCCTTGGCTTTGTCCATGAGCAAATCGATCTATTTTTACTTAGAAAACATTACAGAAATGCACAAACTCGGCATTGCGCGCTACATTGGCTTTTCCCATGTGCACATCGGTCTATTTTCGCTTAAAAAACATCAGAGAATTACACAAACTCGGCATCGCGCACAACATCGGCATTGCGTTCTGCATTGGCTTTGCCCATGTACACATCGATCTATTTTCACTTAAAAAAAATCCGAGAATTGCACAAACTAGGCACCGCGCACAACCTCGGCATTGTGCACTACATTGGCTTTGCCCATGTACACATCGATCTATTTTCACTTAAAAAACATCAGAGAATTGCACACAGTCGGCATCCAGCACAACCTCGGCATTGCGCACTGGAATGGTTTTGCCCATGTACACATCGATCTATTTTCACATAAAAAAACATCAGAGAATTGCACTACCTCGGCATTGCGCAGTGCATTGGCTTTACCCATGTACACATCGATCTATTTTTACTTAAAAAACATCAGAGAATTGCACAACCTCAGCTTTTCCAATCTTCTAGGATTGAGCCAAAAAGAAATACAAAATATTAAAAATAAGCAAGTTTAAAACGAAACATACAAGAAAATGTTTTTCACTTACCCTTTTCAGGAAAAATGTAGTCTTTTTTAGGGGTTTTATATATGTATATTGAATTTATCTCAAGGGAAAACCCTTTTGCCCCCCCCATCTTAATCATCCCTTAAATACATTTACTAATTTACTTTAAATACATTTACTAATTATTTTAAATACATTTACTAGGGCGTTTTTTTAACGTTTTGTGTGTTACCTTTCTTTATCAAATACCATGTTCTTTACACTTAAACCATAAAATTCAGTTCAACAGCAATATCGCAAAATAATTTTAAAATGAGCATAGCTTTAAATTTCCGATACACAGTTTTGCAGTCTGCACAAAAAAATGTTTTCCCCCTTCCATACTGTGCTGCCGTTGCTCGCTTTGAAATCTTTCAGTTTGTTAATCAAAAATTCGTTCAAGTTTTACAAAATATGAATCAGATAATAAAAAAAATTCCAAGTTTAGGCTTCTAGATGCCTATATTAGGTTGGAAACGTACGCTATTCAAAATTTAATGACTCCAGGTACCGTTGTTTTATCACAAAGCGAGAAACATTTATGCAGATT